AATAATGACAAAGAGACAAGAGGATAAAAGTCTCTTTTGATAAGTGTGTATATATATTTTTATTCTCGACAAACGTATATTTTTATTACCCACATGTACATTCTTTTATTTCTTTTAATATTATATCATAGCTTATTATATAACTGTAATCACATTCTAATAAAAACACATAAAGAATGGTATGTTATTAAAACAGAGATATCGCTCTCTATTATAGTTTATATTAAGATAGTAGATATTCTTTAAAAGTAAAAAAAAGAAATATTTAGAATCTTTTACCAAAATTACGAAACAAAAAGAAAGAATTTTTAACTTAGCAATTGAATAATTACTAGAAAAGAATATGTATGTAAACTAGTTTTATATTTATTTTATAAGTTTTTCACTTTTACAAGAAAAACTATAAATTTAGATATTCATTACTAAATTATATGTTATTATGAAACGTTGATTGTAGAAAAACAATTAGAGAGATTTAACAAACTATTTCAAGCCAAAGTTCAGTTTATTTTATTTTATATTTTGTCGATTTTGCAGCACAGTCTATTACTCTTTTTAGGGTAGCTAAAAACCTGAAAAACATTTCTGTAATTCTTCATGCAAGTCTCACGAGTTCTGAAGTTCTATTTAAGAAATCAGGTTTTCACCTCACGTAATACTGTTCTTTATTTCTTACCTAGAGAGGGTAGCCACTTCATCTTAAATATCCAGAAAGAAGATTTATTCCAGTCACCTCACTTTTATTTTTTTTGTCTTTGCTTTATTTTTATAAATATTTATGTTTGTGTGTCTTCTTGTTTAAGCTACAATTTGTTTCATAAAATGCATATTTTATATTTTTTTATTTATAGTAATAAATTTGTTCAGTAATACAATACCTCTTTACTAGTTAAAATATATATTTCCTGAAGAAATTAATTTATTATCAAAATTGACAACATGATATTATCAAAAAAATTTTGCTGGAGCTATTAGGGATATAGATACTTCTTATTCAAAGATAAACATCTGTGATAAATAAAATCGACTGTGTATATCCAGTGAAAAAAAATGTGTAATGAAATTGTAATCCATTAGAATAATTTTATTTATGCTTAATGTTTTTAAACTCGCATTGATAATCGATAATTGTCAAATCGTAAAATACATTATATATGCACAATTTCCGTGAAATTTTGATTCCGCGTCGAATAAACAGTAAAATGTTTACATTTTTGGTTACTGATTTAAACAAGGCAAACTTGGCTAAAAGAGCTAAAGTACTAATCAAAACACATGAATGTATAGTAAGAAAACATTTAAAACTCATCAAATTTCAAGCTTGATATTTTTAGTAAAAAAAGACGTATAAAAAGTGTAAGAATTATATTACATAACATCATGAACATACATATCTCTAATCTATTTTTATTTCTGTATAATGTTTAAAACTTTCTATATAATTTTTGACACTTTTTTATAATTTGATATCATATGTTTATATTTATGGTTGAATAACATTTACAGTCTTACTTATAAGTTAATACATGCAAAACAATTTAAAGTAATTAACTGTTAAGTAAATATTTTTTGTCAATATCTTTTATTAAAAAATTTTTTAATCTAGTATTATTTTGTAACTGAGCAGAAATTATATCAAAATTTTTGGAAATAAAATATTCAATAAGTTTGAGTAGTAACACAGCAAGTATTACTGTTGCAAAAATTGCGCGAAAACGATTTGAGAACCATCTTTTTAAAGCCCCAGTTATCGAGCACCTAGTTGGAATGATAATGTAATAAAATAAGTAAAGGTAGTAGTTACTCTTTCAAATGATATAATCTACCTTTCACACTTTTTTCCTTTTCTATCTCTTACTTTCAGTCTCCACAAATACTGATGCACGTTAACTATCTTTTTCTTTACTATTTCTTGTCATTGTCTCTTCTGTTTTCTCCCTCTACTCTCCCTTATCGCTTGCTCTCTCTCTGTTTTTTCTTTCACTATTAGCTAACATCTACCCTCACGCTATCATCCGCCATTCGCTCACATCTACCCTTCCACCATAATCCGCTTTTCGTCTGCGCAATCTGCGGGAAAACAAGGAAACTAGAGTCGAGAAAACAAGAGAGAGCGAGAGAAAGACAGAGAGAGAGAGAGAGAGAGACAGACAGACAGACAGAGAGAGAGACAGAGAGACAAACAGACACACAGAGAGACAGACAAACAGACAGACAGACAGAGACTGAGAGAAAATAGCTCGAAAGCAAAATACAAATCCCGCCGCCATTGCTACGGCAAGTCACCCTTCAGCGGGAGTTTTGTCGTCGCGTGGGTGGAAATCTTATAACGTTGCACAATGAGAGTCAGTCTCATCCTTTCCAATCGACCCGAGTAAGGGTAAGTTAACCCCGGCAACCATGTTTTCTACGAGCGATAAAATGGAAGATGCGAGAAAACAAGTGGAAAACTCCGCCCTGCGCGAGTGAATATTATCACTGCCCTCTTTTCTAACATGACGCCATATTTGTGCTCGCCTTTTATATCTGTGAATCTTTATATCGAAATTCATTACTGTCCGACAGTACTAACGTCAACGATTTTCATTTATGAAAAAAAAAATAAGATAAATAAGATAAATTGAATTGATCGTGGTAAAATCCTATACATGATGTTTAATGGAAAATATTGCGATTAATTATATCTAACAAAACCTACTCTTTTAATTTTTTACGCTATATTGATATGGCGTAAAATTGTTACAAGTTCGACATATTTCAGTTTGTATAGTAAATTTTGCATAGTAAATTTGTCAAACAGAATTTGTACAAATTACTGTTTAATATTGTCATTAAGTATGACAAATATATATGTATATTGATCCAATATAGTTTTCTTTCCTATTATTATTTAAGTTTAAGAAACATTATTATTATTTTCTGTATTCTTAAGAATTTAATATAATTACTAAAAATTTATAAAAAGCTTTTTCTACAAAGTCAAAATTGTTATGCTCGTTAAATTAAAAAAAAAATTTAACATAATCTAAATTTTACAACGGTGTCATAGTTTACATATTACTTTTACTATCTAAAATTGTAGAGAAAATAAAAATTATATTCTAAAATATATAATGTATTTTTACACATTACACATATATTTTCCAAAAAAATAATTTTTCATGTTTTATTCTATCCGCGTTCGTATCTGACTCTGCTATTTCGTAGGCTCGCTTGAAAAAGCATTAAGGATATTCACCCCCTGACGTCGGGACATTTAACTCCCCGATTGCTTTGACAAGTTAAGCAGGCTCTTAAACCTTGCTTGAGCCCCGATTTATAAGCGGCTGAGGGGACTACTCCGTCGGGAACTGTCGAACTGCCATGTGGCAAAACCCTTGTCGGCAAGGAAAATCGGGGATTAGCCGGTGATAAATAAATATATACGTTTATGCAATAACCGTGACGAACGAGTATACATATTGCTGACTCGTAGCGCAGTAGCAACTAAAATCAAATTGCGTTTCGAGGGGTTCGCAAACCCCATACATCCCTCATCAAACAAGATCTTTGAAGACAAATAAATAGAAATACCTCTTAAGATAACGCATCAAAAGTTCAAGTAAAAGCTATTAAAGGCTATAAAGCTATTAAAAGCTATTCAACATAGATATGTAAAATAAAATTTTTATCAATTTTTGACATTACATTTTTAAAAAAAAGAATTGTAATATATTAAAAATAAATTGTAATGATTCAAAAATGGAGTCAATTAATACTTACCTGATAAACAAAAATATAAAGCTTTGAGTTGTTGATAATATAGCTAGAAATTAGTAACATATAATGTAGATTAATAATATACGTATATATGTATATATTACTAGTATATATACATATATATACAGGGTGTCTTACAATTACTTTAGCATATCTTGCAGGTAGAAGGAGTAAAACTGAGTCGAAAAGTCCTGAACCATTTTTTTCTATTACATATAATAAAGGAATAATTATTGAATAGCGTCTTTTAAAAAATTCGGCGTTGATTAGCTTGATTTATTCAATAATTACTCCTTTATTATATGTAATAAAAAATGGTTCAGGACTTTTCGACTCAGGTTTACTCCTTCTATCTGCAAGAGATGCTAAAATAATTGTCGGACACCTTGTATATGCTTGTATAAAAATGTAATATTAAGAATAAACTTTATAGTTAGAGTATTAAATAATTGAAAGTACAGATAAAAAGCGGATTAATATCAGATTCGTGTTTATTATAAGTAATCGTTACACAGTACATGTTACTGACTGAGAATACATAGACTTTTTATAGAGATTACTATCACAACACAAAATATATAGAGAAAGTGCGGTCAAGCATCCATTTACAATGTCAAAATGTCTATTTCATATTTCCGCAAATAAAATTACATTTATTAAATTATATTATACAATATTATATTTTTTATAAATTTATATATTGCTGCTTGAATTATTTTTAAATATAAAATGCAATTTAATTCTAGCATAATAAGTATTATTCCTATTAATCATATAATAATGTAATTATCTTTTATAAATATATAAAGTTATTTATAAAAGTTAAAAAAACAGAAATATATTGTAATTACAATAATTCTTTTCAAATCTCATTGCATAGTTACAAAAATGTTTATTTCACTCAAATAAATCATTAATTTTCTTGTATCTCATTTTTATCTACAAAGCTAAAATATATCTATTTATGGCTTCCGTCACTTTCTTATCTAATTCGGTATATGTTCTTTAATAAATGTAAATCTAGATACAAAATGAAAAGAAGTCTAAACCGAAACATCTTGCGGTTTATGAATTTGAGTCCATTAAAACTTCTACGAGAAACAGAAAGCATTCTATCAACATGTTGGATTTAACGTCCAACAAAATATGTTTATAATAAATAAATACAGGTTTATATATATATGTATATATATATATATATATATATATATATATATATATATATATATGTGTATATTTACGCCGCAATTTGAAGTGTTCGACTTTAGTTGCCGTTTTATTCGTTAGCGACGTTGTTTTGCTTATATCTGTCGCGTTTGTATAGGAATATTAGCCAATCAAAGTTCTTATAATCACCGAAGAGACTTAGAACTTAGTCCTTAGGCCTGATTGTATAGAAACAAAGCGTGTTTGCTGTCGTTTCTTGATTCATTTAGGAAAGTCTCGCTGTCCAGTCTTTATTATCCTTTTTTTCGATGCTTTAATTTTATTTTAATTAACTTCTATCGAATCATTCACAAATACTTTAAATTTTGTAATATTTATGTTATCAAGTTTTTATAATAGTTTATAATAAACGTCTTTGATGCTCAATATATAAGTTTAGTTTTTGTACATATCGCAAAGGACTTTTTCCATTGGTGTATTACCGATTGTTCGGTGGAAGTAGATTAACTCCACTCGTGCTGCTGGCACCGTTCGCAACAACGGCAGAAGTAACAACAACCTACCAAAGCGAGCCGGACTATTGGGCTGTTGAGCTCGCGCATGGTGTCCTAGCATTAGCTGCGCTTGATCTTGCAGATTCTCTATTTGGCTGGAATCTTTCAAACCGCGCGTTTCTAAAATGAAAAATCCTTTCTGAAAGCTCAAATCGCAGTTTTGATAAATAAAGCAGAAAACTTGATATAGGAAACTATGATAGAAACTTTTATATAATTTATTTCTAAATATATATCTTTACTAGTAAATAAATATAAAAAAAAATTCATATATATACAGCGTATCCCATTTTAAAAGATTCGTTCAAATATCTCACAATCAGAAACACTGCGTTAAAGTGACACATGTTTTGGACAACAGTTTTATGACTTTAAGAGGGACATAAGATGATGCCATTGATTTGACCTTGGGTTGCATTGTCAAAGTCAGGGCAAGGTTACTTAGACTTTTTTAAACAAAACTTTCCTAGTTTTATTACATATTTTTGCAACTTACCTCGACAGCTTTTCAAAACATTATAATAAAATATTTTTTTGTTAAGTAGGGGAGACCGGGGCACAAAGTAACATCCAAAATAGATTGTAAAAAAAAAAAATGTATGCAATATTATGCAATATTAGGTACATTATATAATAGTCACATCCTTTAGCTTTAAGAAAAAACAAATATTATTCTTATATATCTTTACACAAAAGAGTATTTTAATGTTAAGTACAATCGCGCAGATTTGTCAACCTGCCCCATACCCAGGGTTAATTGTCACATGTCTTTTATGCAGAGAAACAATAAGATAAAATTTCTGTTTTTTATATTATTAAATTTATTGAGAGAGAGTACATAACATTATACATTAAGTATAAAGTATTTATACAATATTAATAATCATATATATATATATATAAAACAACTTTAAATGATTTCACAATACTAAATCAGTTAAAAACTATAAAACATAATTAGTAATCTAATCTTTAATAGAAAAAAAACAATGACAGGTACTGAAAAAGTTATAACGACGCATAACGATCACTGCGATTACTTCTTCGCGCATGCTCACCGTGTGACAACTTATCCCGTCTCAATTTGAGTCAACTTATCCCAAACGTTCATTTTAAATAAAA